GCAAGTAAAACAGACATTTGAAAAGTTTATTACCAGTTTAAACTGTCTGGAATCAACTTAAGAGTGTTATTTTTAGCTCCTTTAAACCCTATGAATAAAGAATTTTCTTTGTATTGGGGGGTGCTACTTTACTGTGCCCCCCCCCCATTGATAAATCAGCAGCTGAGCTTCACTTGAATCTTATAATACAGATCAAGAACCAATTGGATGATAATTGGTTTATTTGTGTGTCATGAGAGGCCCTTACCACTGACCTAAAGGAGATACAGTTTTCTTTCTTCTCCTCTAATTTCCATCTGTCAGGTCAAATCTTTTTATATTATCAAGGGTTGCATAGACATCACTTGCTTGCTATTGATTTATAAGTTTCCTTTTTATCGATTCTTATTGTTCCACATATTTTGGAATTGTGTGTCTATAGAAATAGAGTTAAAATATTGCTTTCAGCAAAGACCTGATATGAAGTTGACCCCAGGGCCATATACGGTTTTCATAAAGAAATTATTACACCAAAACAAGATACCTCCAAAAAGAAAAACCAAAAAAAAACTACTGGACATTCATAGTCGGAATCTAAAAACAATTTAATTTACCTTTCAATCTGATTCTCTGAGAGAAGAACTATGTCATCTATCAGCATTTATATTATTCCCATTCTGCCCGACCAAAAAAATAATGCCACTAAGACACAATGGATTACAGAGAGTGAAACAGAATGAGAAGACTTTAGTAAGGAGAAAGGACAATAAAAGAACAGGTTTCATGGAGACTGAAGATGGTAACTTATGTTGCATTTAAATTTTTGAAGATTGTAGATAGATATATTCATATAAGTAAATTCTTTTCTAGACATTCCTTATAAGAAATCACTTATATGCATGCAAGTAAATTTTAATAAAAACACTAATTGCAGTACCTTATCAATTGTTTTTAATCAAACTTTTATATATATATATATATATATATATATATATATATATATATATATATATGTTTGTGTGTGTGTGTATGCATATATATGTGTGTGTGTATGCATATATATATGTGTGTGTGAGTATATATATATATATATATGTGTGTGTGTGTGTGTGTTGTATACATCGTGCGATTGTTAAATTGTCGCCATTTTATATTTTTAATTTTGTGAATGCATTTTGTAGATTTTTGATTTTGTTGAATGCACAGTTAGGTAGGGTCAGTTAGGCACTGCCTGTGAGAAAAAGACCACCATGACATAGTTCACTCTACCAGAAATTTGGAAACAGTATGTTGTAATGCTTAGCATTCTTGCCAGAAGCTCCAATATAAACATTTTAGAATGTTTGAGTGGGTCTAATGGTGAGTATGAAGGTATGGCATCTCAGAAAACTCACTCTGAAAACTCCCAAATTTGTTGGCGAGGGCCTCAGACTTAACACGGAACCCTACATCAAGTACCTTGAGGAGGTATTGCTGTCCTGAGGGTGGCTGCTGGAAGACCTGATGTCTGGCAACAGGATTCTGCCTCATGACTTACAAGCAGGAGAACCTAGTCATGGATGTCAGACAATTTCTGCAACAACATCACCTCTTACATATGGCCACCTAATTGCTCAGACTGCAACCCCTTGATGATATGTGGGGTGCAATTGAGTTAGAGACCGACAAAACTCCTTGTAACTTGGTGAGTTGGCCCAATCAGCATCACAAAATCCTTCCAATTTTAATGGTTTATCTGATTGTCGAAATACTAGGCACTGACTCTTAGTTCCCTGTTTCGTTTAAGTTTTGGGACAACTTAGTAACCGTATAGCAGATATCTGGCCTGGTTGATGTCATCACGTAAATAAGACTTCCGACCAATGTTCTGTATTCTTTCTCACACACCGTTATACCATCTTCCTTGTTCATAATTATGTTTAAATCCATTTCACATGGAGTAGTTCTTGTTTTAAAATTTTGCATGCTGAATTTAGATAAGAGCCTTTCGATGTATCTCGATTGATTCATTGTAATAGTGTTGCCTTCAAATTCAAACTCTATACCAAGAAACCATGATAGTCGGCCCAAATCGGTCATCTCTTCCTGATGTATGTTTCCTTTTTGTTTCCATTTTCCCTAGAACTTTGTTGTTGCTTAGTCCATGGTATCTTCAGCATCCTTCTATAGGCCTGAATTACTGTTGCTTTCTAGTTTCATCTTCAGCTTTCAAGAGATTGTCCAGTCTTTACTGCCATATAGAAGGAAATAACAGTTCTGTACTCTTTTCTTTGTTTCTAAAAAAAGTTTCCCTGTTTCTTCAGACTCTGCTAAGCTTTTGCAATGCATCTTTGACTTGTCTTTGTATTGCACATTCCATTCTCTTTAAATTAATGCATTTGAGGCACCAAGGAGAAAAGCTCATTCCTTACTACTCATGAAAAGACAAAGAAAAGCCACATCACAGTAATTCTCTCTTTGTGACCAGTTGACTTTTACTTTGTTCTTAACATTTTCTGAACCGAAATCAACCAATGTTTACTGTACTAATTGCAGACTTTAACTTATAGACAAACACCAGCCTTCAAGTCTCTTTGAATTACCAATAAAAGACCAATACCATTTCCTTCATAAACTATCGTTTAAAGGTCAAATACTATCAAATTCAGTGATGATCAAACACTATTTGGCTCAAAAATATTCCTGAAATGTTAATCTAAATCATAAAGAAAATTAGCAAAGTTTTATTTGGTTTTAAAACCAATTCTAACTTTCACGGCTAAGACTCACCATATCACACACACTGTAGCAAAGCACTCTTTTCATATTCCATGGTTGGGATGTAAGCATCTCCTCATGATAACCACTGATTTATGTAAACAACTCCCAAAGGGGGTGGCTTCCCCGATCACTACAATCTTGGCCTGTTCAAGTCTAGGGTCAACTGTTATCTTTACTATATATTTTTATAAACTGTTCCTCTGTCTAACCCTCTAGCTCGAGTGGCTCTTGGGTCTTGTAAAATTGTTATTTTACCATAACCACAAGTAAATTGTTTAAACACTAAAGCTGGGCTACTAATCTGAAAATGGATAAATTAATGCAATAAGAAAACTTAATTTGTACACTATATATCGTTTCGAACATATATGTTGTAGTGGATGGGGAGGGTGAGGATTGAAATCTGGAAATAAGATTTGCATTCAAATTAAAGCTCTGAGTACCAAAAAATAAATATATTTTATTTCTGTATAAATGTCATGTTTATTTAGAGAGGTTTCTTTTTTAAATTAAATTAAACGCGGCAGTCTATGATTTCCCTCGCTGTGCTGGGTCCCTTTAGGATGTGGACAAACATGGCTCTCCACGGCTTCCCACCATTTGTTGATCTCAGTAATACTTGCTACTTTTCAACTCTTCATTGTCTTTGTTTTGCCATCTATTTGCTCAAACTTGTCAAAGTTTCTCATGGCTTTTGCACATTTTTCATGCCTTTCATGTGCTCCCCTTTTATTTTGAAGAAGAACACTGATGATGATAATAATAATAATAATGGATGGATATTTCTTTCTGAAAGTCTGCAAGTGCTTTTATATTAAACATGGGAAATTCTATGAGAAATTAGAAAAAAAAGTAATGATTCTATCTGGACAACAGGAAGTAACCTTACTAACTGGAAAAAAATATTTTTTGCAAAATGGAAAACCTGTAAGAGAGTATGGTAGAAAAGACACATAGTTCCAGGCATTTTTGAGAAACATTCAATCCAGCATTTTAATTCTATATTTTTCAAATCTTAGAAAAGATTTTATTTAGTTTTCTCCAAAACTTTAAGTAATAACTATACTTGTTTATTGCCAGAAAAATCTCATAGTTTTCCTATCTGAATTTTCTGATAAATCTTAATTCTTAAGTTAATGGCTGAATAAGCTCATGGTGAGTTCTACAACAAGAAAATATCTGTACAAATCCTCTTATCACATTGTTAAATTTTTGAGCTGAACAACTTTAACAAAATATATGCAATAACAATCTTACTATAATTCTACTTGTTCCTCTTTTAGTTCTTAAAATAAGATCTGCACTGATATTTGTGATTTAAGAAGTGGGTACAAATGAAAAGATTTGACAGTGACAACTTTTTCCATCTTACTGAAACAGCTGTTAAAAACATAAGAGCAAACCAAACTTAATTTCTATTTTTTTCCTTCTTTCTTTCCTTCCTATTCTTTCTTCCCTTCCTTCATATTATCTTTTTTCTTCTTTCCTTTTTCTTTCTTCCTTTCTTTTCTTGTTCTTTCTTTCTATCTTTCTTTCTTTTTTCCTTCCTTTCTTCCTGTCCTTTTTCTTTGTTTGTTTCATTCTTTCTTTCTGTCTTTCTTTCCTTTTTCCTTCTTTCCTTTCTGTCATTTTTTCTCTTTCTTTCTTTCTGTCTTTCCTTCCTTCCTTCCTTCCTTCCTTCCTTCCTTCCTTCCTTCCTTCCTTCCTTCTCACTGAAACCCAACAGCATTATGTCTCTTCAGGCTTTCCTCTTGATCTAATAGTCCATATTTGCAAGGTACTGGCAGGACATAACTTATGTGCTAATTAAGGAAGAAACAAACCAAATTATAAGAAGATATTTTGTGCAAAACCACAATACAAAGATAATATTTCAGAGCAGAAAGGCAATTTTTGGTACATTTTCATGGTGACCATCATCTTCCAAAAATATTTAAATAAACATAAGAAATATTTTGAGTACTGAAATGAAAGAATAATTGATTTCAATCATACAATAGACATGTGCATTTGTTCCCACAGATACATTTCTGTATTGACCTTATGAATTCTTCATTGTCATCAGTTTTTTACAAGACATAATTTATTGTTATCATTGCTTTCATTCTGGCCCAGCCCTTTACCATTGTACGTTTCCATTCCAAATATTCTTAATTAGTTGCTCTTCATGCCGAAACTGTATAACAGGCCAATTAGCTTTACATCTCTTCTGTTTTTCCATACTTACTATTAATGTTATCATTCCCACATTCTATAGGGCTTATGGCCATATCACATTGAAACACTGCTTCTCATACAATCACTGAAGTTAAGCAATGTTGAGTCTGGTCAGTACCTAGATGAGTGACTGCTTTGGAATATCAAATATTGTAATTTTGGATATGTGGGTGTAATAATGGATAAGGGCTTGGAATTGGAAATCAGAGAGTTCCATTTCCTGTTGGGTTCATTATATTTACTTGCACACCAATACCCTTGGAAATGGTTAATTAAAAGGACTTGTATTTTTACAATCTAAAAATATTTTCTGGTTTTAAATAACCTGCAAAAGATTGTTAAGTTGTATAAAAACATGTGCAGTAATCTTGGATGTGCAGGTGGTGTAATGGGTAATGGCTTGGAATTGGAGTTCAGAGAGCCAAGTTCCAATTCCAGTCAGGTTTGTTATATTCACTTATGCACAAATACCCTTGTGAAAGGTGTGAGTTCACTTCTTCTCCCCCAGCTATGGGTTAATTAGTAGGACTTGTATCAGTAAATCATTACTATCTAAAACATTTTTACAATCTAAATAGAAATGAAAGCAAGCAAGCAAATGATTCTATAAGATATGTATACTACTTGCTTATATAGATTAATTTGATCCTTGAATTGTCTATAGATAACATCTTAAGCATTCTTATGATTATTTCAAAAGATCTCATCAAGGAAGATAATACAAATATTAATATCTTCAATTTGGTGTGACCTCATCATGATATTGATGAGGCATAACCAGGCCTAAACAGATTACGTATCATAACACTCTAATATTATTGTTGCACTGAGAAAGCACTTCTGATCAAAATCAAAATGGCTTAGCATCTAACTAAATGCCGGCTTGCGGATGTTACGAGCTGTGAAAATTGACCTTGACATCTGAAGGGTCATTATAAAAGTGAGGAATAATCAGAGGCATTTCCATTACAGGTGGATAAGAAGAGAGACAATCTTGGTGGGTAGGAGAAAAGAAGACAGGGTTGAAGAGATAGGAAATTCTGTTGGTGCATACTGGGGTAAGAGCAAAATCTTAAATTGAAGCCAAGCTGATGAGGCAACTAAAGATGGAATAAGCATATACCCACAGCTGCCAGCTTTCAAGAATGCAGGCTAAATCGGTTTACAGCTGTTGTTGAAGAAAAATTCCGAAATGATTGGTACAAGGTCAGGAATGTGAGAAGAGACATACTTTAATAAACGACTGTTGTTCCTTGTCATTTCGCTTTCTGCCAAGAAGACGAAATGAAGAGCTCAAGAGCAAACTGATGTCTTCACAAATCAGCCAGAGTGAATTTTGAAATAGGCAGAGATCACTTCATAGGGCTTTGGAATAGAGAATGACAAAATGCCAAGTTCAATTCAGATTATCTCATGTTCTTTACTACAGACCTACCTGGAAGATGGAAAAACTGTGGAAACAAAAGATAAATGATTCCAAACAAATGGTATTTGTAAAATAGACAATACTCATTGGTTATATTTCTCAGTATCAATTACATTTTTTCAATCGAATAATTCAACTCCTTATGTTTTAATGGCTTTATTGCCTTGCTTGGGGTGAAAAGAATTAAAAACTAAGTAAACTGAATTTGCAGTTTGATGCTTATAGGTTAAAACCCAAACTTAGAGAATTTTGATGCAGAGGGAGTAGAAGAGTAATCAATATATAAAAAGATTTATAGAAAGAAGTTGAAATTGCTATTAAATTGTGTAGAAATCTTAATCATTATAGCTTTTATTATAGAAAATTGAAATTGTTAATCATCTTTTTTTTTTACTTTTTGTTTTTTTTTTTTTGCTATATTCACGGTTAGTATTGGCTTTTTTGTTGTGTTTTCTTTTTGGTCACATGGCATCCAATTTTTTAAACAATGAAATTAATGTCTTCCGGCTTAGAGATCAAAAGTTTTACTAAAGAAAAAGGGCACATTTACAGGAATCAAACTGCCATTAAATTGCTGGAAGACATAAAAAAAAAGCAAGGCATAAGTTTCTTTTTTTTTTTTACAACAATGTTCACCCTGTACAAGGCCTGGGTGCTACTCGAAGTTGATGGTTACAGAGTAAGAGACACTGTTTATGCGGATATGTGGGGATGATAACAGTTTACCCTAGACTTGAATAGGTTCAGATTGTAGCAATTTGAAAAGCATCTTCTTGGGAGTCAGTTCCAGAGAGCAGTGATTCATGAGAAGAAGCTGCTCAAGTGGAACCAATGAATACAAATGAAATGAGAGTGGTTTGCAAGAATGTGCATGGCATGGTGTGTCTTAGACATGAAGGTAAAAAATGGTAGAACTAAAATAATGAAGTTCATCTGAACCCTTTCAGTGGAAATAGTGTGAGGCTTGTGACATTTTATCTGTGATAAAGGGGTTGTAGGATGCAAAATAATTTGCCACCCACAAGGACATGAAGACAATTTTGGACTCTATCAAGACTGGCTATATATGACAGCATTACTCCATTTTTGTCTCATCCTATTCAAGAGATTCACATCATAATGATAAAATATGCAGGACTTAAAAGAGGTTTAGGGTTGGATTTCTCAGATAAAAAATTGTATACATGTCCAATTCCAGTCAAGCAGCACATTTTTCATATATATATATATATATATATATATATATATATATATATATATATAGGAAGTGCTGACTTAAAAATTCCAGTCAGGTTTGTTACATTTACTTACGTGCAAATACCCTTGGGAAAGGTATGAATCCACCCCTCCTCCCACCAACTATGGGTGGATTAGCGAGACAGATTGGATTCTATAGCCTTCATTGGCAACCTGTCTACTGCAGAAAGAAATGGCAACCTACTGAGTAAAAATATTTTTGTCTAGCCAGACATGACTTGAAAGAGACATGATCGCCAAAGCATGTATCACACACACAAACACACACACACACACACACACACACACACACACACACACATATATATATATATATATATATATATATATATATACAGTCCATCAAAAAATGTATACAGACTTCAAGAAAACAAGAACTCAAACTGTAATAACACTGTTTACTGTAGTACTATATTATCTCAACAGATGGCATTACCGTCATATCTGTTGCATCAACAAGTGATATCTACAACATGACAGATGTACAGTTGTTGTTTGAGGAATATAAGATAATTAATAATCTATACTAATAAATGCCTGAAAGCTAAAGGTCACCATTTTGGGAATTTCTTGTGATTGTAGAATCCAAAGGTAACTTGTATTAATCTTGTCATGCCTGAAAAAATTTAGTATTACAAGTTTTTCCTTTCTTGAAATGAGTATACATTTTTGCTGGATGATATATATATATATATATAATAGACAAAAAGTCAATTTGGAATGTTATATGGAACAGCATTAGGAACCTTTTTGTGTGATTTCATGACTAGCCATACCTTCTTTCGACAAGAATATAAAACCCCAGATGTTACAAGTCAGGTCTTCCTTAGATCTCTTTCCTGGGAGGAGTGTCACCTACTCTATATGCCTAGCAGCATGTTTAACCTGCATTTTCAATCTTTCTATCCTCAAAGCCTTTCACAGCCTACACAATCTCACCCCTCCAACCATCTCTGTCTTTTGCTTTCTTCTCCAACATCTGAGTATTAATGGAGGCTTTCTTAAAGGAGTCCTTTAGGCAGTCTTTAATACATTATTTGAGGGCTTACAAGCTGGCCACTTGTCATCTCTAAATTCACCATACATGGCATTTTGAATCAAAACATCCAGATCAGCCAGCGGTCAGTAACCGACTAACATATACATCATGTGGTCTAAGTGCAAATCAGTGCCAAGACTTCAGAGAGAGTCATCTTAGACAACACCAGTGAGATGAAAATCTGAGGTGATTCAGGACAAATTCAAGAAGTGGTCCTGCTCAGTCATGCATGAATTTCCAACATATATATATATATATGTATAAAATACAAGTATACTATATAATTTAAAAGTTACAAATAGTTGCAATTATATTTTGAGACAGATATCTTTAGAATACCCAGACAATTTGAAAAATGTACAGAGCAATTGGGATAGAAGATATTTTTAACATTCAAAATTAAATAAATATATATATATTCAAACATATATTGTTAAATATAACAGACAATGAATGTCTATTATGTTTGATCATGAGCTGTTCTAAGCTTTGTATAGTGGCTTTAATTTTCAGGAGAAAATAAAGACAAAAACTGTCCAACATTTGGATATTTTTTATTATGCTCTTCCTCAATCTCAGCTTTCAGCTCACATGAGCCATCACCAGAATGGCTATATGTGGTTACATATATATGTGTGTGTGTGTGTGTGTGTGTGTGTGTGTGTGCGTGTGAGTGTGTAGGTTCAACGTTGTTAAGTCGGTTGAGAAGATCTGTTAAATTAGTATTTTTGGGATATGTTAATAGTGAGTCGTCTGTGTATCTGAAATAGGAAGAGTTTGGAGGGAGAATGTTTTTGAATGGGTCACTTTCTAGAAACTCTAAAAATAGGAACATTCTTGCTTGTCTTTTTTTAGAGTTTCTAGAAAGTGACCCATTCAAAAACATTCTCCCTCCAAACTCTTCCTATTTCAGATACACAGACGACTCACTACTAAAAAAATACTAATTTAACAGATCTTGTCAACCAACTTAACAATGTGGAACCTACAATAGACTTCACTTTTGAAACTGAAACCAACTAAATTCTTCCCTTCCTAGATGTTCATATATATATATATATATATATATATATATATATATATATCCAGGGTACATTCCTTGCTCTCTTTATTCATGAAACATTAAAGCTTTTATGTGATGATGAAAAGATATTATTGAAAATAAACAAACACAAGCTGTCTAAATTGTTTAATTAGACATATATATGTTACGAGCAAATTTCATTCTTCTTTGTAAACTAAATGAAATGTCTAATTTGATGCTTAACCATAAAAGACAGTAAAATATTCTAGATTTGAAATTTGGTATTCATTCCTAATTCTTCAGTTTAACTTCTGATAGAAAGCAAAGATCTGCTTTGTATAAACCATAAACTGAACTGAATCTGTATGAAGTGAATGTTTTGATCATATATATATATATATATATAT